TAAAAGTAAGTAATTTACTTAGTAATATATATATATATATATATATATATATATATATATATCATCCAAAATAGATAGTTACCCTTTCCAAAGTTGACGAATTCAAATGAGATTTTGAGTACTGAATATTGCTCCCATAAATATTTATCTTTTTACCCAAAATTCATGTATCACATTCATACCCGTACATACGTATGAATTTATATTCATAAATATAATTGTTTCATATAAAATTTATAACTCAAACTTTGATGTGTCGTTTTCATTCAATTTGTGAATGTTTGATTGAAATAATAATAGTTTCACTAAGAAATTCGTATTTTTAGTAACGGTGGATCCGGATCAAATGTGAACTAAATTAGTGATGGATCCACACGTACATGCATGATTGTATTTTAATACTTCTACTACAGCACGAGTTTGGTATAACTGTAGAAAATTATTTAATAAAATTACATTATTAAAAATACATCATATATATTTGATGGACTAACCCGTGAAAATTAAATTCGTAAATATAAATCATGACCCATACTACCATATGATTATGAGTTTCGCAAACCAACCTGTGTATTATTAAAATATCATAAAACTCTGAAATATATAATTATATTTACATCATATATATATATATTAGATTGTTAGATTTGATTTTCTTAAAAACAAATATGTTGTTAAGAAGTATTTAAATTTTTTTATAGAAATTGTATATCTTTGACAATAAAAGTTAGTTTTAAAAACCATGGGAAATAAAATTATCTTCAAGATATTAAAAATTGAATAATATAATAATACTTAAACTTATAAATTTTAAATAGATTTTAAATATTTCCTAAATTTTAAACTTTACATGTAGTTTAAATATTTATAATATATGAAAATATTTCAACTTAACAGAATGTTAAAAATTACTGTTATAAATATTTATATATTTAAGTAGAATGTTAAACTCCAAACTTTATAAATATTTACATAGTTCTAAAATTTGAAACTCCATAGATCTTAAATATTTATAATATTTTAATATTTGTTTGGAGTTTTATGTATTTCTAATATTTTTTAACATTCTATTAAGTTGAAATGTTATAATATTGGAACCTATTAAATATTCAATATTTTTAATATTTTTAAAAAACGTGTACATTTTCAAAAATTATAATATTTCAAAGTTTTTTAGTAACTAAATATTTTAAAAGTTTCAATTAAGGTTAAAATATTAATAATTTAAATATTATAACATTTTGAATATATTAGTTTAAATTAGGTAGAAATTTTAGAAAAAAACTAAAATATGTTTATATAGATATATACAATTTCGAATTAAATAGTCCACCTTTTATGGTAACAAATTTATTATGAAATGTTGGTTAGTTATTAGTTTTGATTTTTTATGTATTTAAAGCTGATTTGTTTTCCAAAAATATATTTTGCTGTCTTTTATTATGTTTGGCTACATGATTGAGATTGAATTTTATTTTATTTTGGTTTTTAATTGTATATACTATGTTTATCTTATAAAAAATGCTTCCCTTTTAATAGTATAGATTTAGATGATTTTGTTGTTTTGCTGAATATACACAGATTTTAGAAGTTTTTAATTTTAAAGTTTTGCTGAATCTTATGGATTACAGAGGAAATTCAATAGCACCAAATTTTAAAAAAGAAAATTGTCATTTAATTCTCGAACTTTCAAATTTAGGTCATTTAAACCACGAACTTTCTACGTGGTCATTCAAAACATGAATTTGTTATTGACTTAGTTTTTATAACATCAATTTTCGTTGACCGAGTCAAAATGAACATCATATCCTCAAATTCGTTAGCAGAGCAACTAGCCATCGTTTGGATATGATGTTCATTTTGGCTCGGTCAACGAAAGTTGATATCATAAAAACTAAGTCAATGACAAATTTTTGTTTTGAATGGCCACACAAATTTTTTATTATTTAAATGGTTTAAATTTTAAAACTCGTGAATCAAATAACATTTTTCCGATTTTAAAATATGATTTATGATCATTTATTGGATCTTTAAATGTTTTTTAATCAATTTATGCGAGCTCTCAATGATAACTATATTATATACATCAGCATATTAAGATGAGCTTCATCTGTACGTAAATTAAGCAGAGACTAGTATGTGATTCATTGAGTAGATCAGAAATCACCAAGGCCGTCGATAGTTTTTCATACAATATGGTGACTGACGAAGCCTAATATTAAAGATGTTAAACATGAATTTAGAGATGATTTACTTTATTTTCAATTTTCCCAAGTATTTTTTCTTTTTTTTCCTTTTTCATATAGCTAGGTCCAATATTCTCATTTACTTGGTCTCTAAGCTAAACAATTCTTTAGTTTATTGTCTTAGGGTTTCTTTACTTACCTTTAAATATAGTCTTACCATTTAATGACACAAACCCTTTGAGAAACTGAGAGACCAAGACAATCACCAATTCTCTCCTTCAATGACTTCTTCCACTGCGACCCTTCTTGGTCCACCTTCCGTCGCCACCGTCAAGAGACTCAAGACAACAACATTCAAACCGCTTACATCTGTTTCAGATGACCACAGTTTGAAGGCTACGTTAAACCTCGACTCGAAGTACCACGAAAGGGTTTGTCAGAAAACTTCTCTCCCACGCTTCTCTCCTCTGGGAACCCTTGTCTCAATTTCTTCTTCCACGTCGTCTCCGACACTTCTACAGAAAAGTTAATCCAAAGGCTGGCGAGTTCTTGGTCTCAAGATCCTTTGACTACGTTGAAACTCGTCTCTAATCTCAGAGGAGTTAGAAGAACTGGGGAATTGTGGGCACCATAATTGACACCCCTTGAGAAGTTGGGCCTCTCGGAGGCCCAGTTAAAGGGCCCGTTTGTAGACGAACTGCGAGTTGGGGTAGGAGCCGCTAAAGGGAGCTCGTAACGTACGAGCTGATGAGTCAACGGAGCATTAATGGAGATCGCGTAATGTCCGGAGCGGAGATCGCGCGAGACCTTAATTACTTAGTAACCTGTATATAAGGATGATAGGGAGATCACTTGTAAGGGGCCGAAAGGATTGATAATAACAGAACATTCAAACTCTATTACTCTTTACTTCGCATACAGTTTTTAAACTAGCATTTGTCTTTAGTTCGATTTGGCTTGAGTTCGGCAAGGTAGACGTCCCCACATACAACTCACTCTAGCTCTCTGGTGGATCCAGCTCCCACAGGAATCAGATGAATAAAGGTTTTACACAGCTGCGTTTTGGCTTTACAAGAACCACCCCAAAACCCTAGCTTTGAATCTCCCTGCTCTTGTCGATTTTTGTTATTTTAGAGATTTGCCTGAGATTCTGTATCGGATCTTGGAAGGTCAGCAGATGGACAGAGGAAAGATTCGGGTTTGGAGAAAGACGTGAGTTGGAAGATAGGGTTTGTGAAACTGTGGAGGAGATTAGTGGTCCGGTCGATAAAGTCAAGGCTAGGGCTTTAAGGAAACATAGAGAGTTCGAGAAGGCGAAAAAGGCGTTAAGGAGGTATAACTCAGATGCTAATTATAGGTTACTCTTTGATGGAATTGCTGCTTTGTTTGCTGATTTTTTGAAATCGGATTTGAAGTATTTGAATTCCAATGAGCTGATAAGATTAGTTTAGCTTCTAAATGGTGTCCTTCGATTGATTCTTCGTATGATAAGACTACTTTGATATGTGAGGCAATTGCTAGAAGCCTAGAAGGATGTTTTCTAGAGATGAGTATGAAGGTGTTGGAGAAGCGCATTATGCTTATAGGATTAGAGATAGGTTGAGGAAAGAGGTTCTTGTGCCATTGCATAAAGCGCTAGAGTTGTCTGCCGTGTCTATAAGTGAAAAGGGATGTGATTTGTTGAAGTACAAGAGAGTTGCTTCGGTGGAACATGATAGAGTAAGTTTTTGAAGGATGTGAAATCCAGAAAGGAGAAGATTGCGGCTGGTGCGCTGCTTCCTCATCAGATAATCGAGCACCTGAAGGATAGTGAATTTGACGCGGAAGTTGCTGAGCTTCAATGGACGAGAGTGGTCGATGATTTTGGCAAGAAAGGGAAGCTGAAGAATTCACTGGCCGCTTGTGATGTCTCCAAAAGTATGGCTGGTACACCTATGGAGGTTTGTGTGGCTCTCGGGTTATTGGTTTCAGAAGTTAATGACGAGCCGTGGAAAGGGAAAGTTATTACCTTAACCAAATCCCCACAGCTTCATATCATCAAGGGATCGAGTTTGATGAAAAAAACTGAGTTTATTAGAGAAATGAAATGTGTAGCGCACCCGGAATTTCCGAAGGTGATTGATAGGATCCTTAAGTTTGCAGTTAAGAATAACCTAACCAATGATCAAATGATCAAGAGGTTGTTTGTATTCAGTGACATGGAGTTTTATGATGCAGCTGCAAACAGCCATTTGAACCAACAAGAGGCCAAGGAGAAATGGGAAACGGATTATCAAAAGATTCAGAGGAAGTACAGAAAGATGGGATTAGAAAACGTTCCGGAACTAGTATTTTGGAACCTGAGGGACTCGTCGGCTACACCCGTGATGGCTAAACAGAAAGGAGTGGCTATGGTTAGCGGGTTTTCGAAGAATCTACTAACTCTGTTTCTTGAAAAACTTGAAAAAGGTGGACTCATAAATCCTGAAGATGTCATGATGTTAGCCATCAAAGGTGAAAAGTATGAGAAGCTTGCTGTTTATGACTAATATACACAAACTTAGCACTAACATTTTTATCACTATCTTTGAGTTTAATACCCTAGAAGTTAAATTATTTTCTTGTTTTTGTTTTCGTTTTCTCCGTGGAGTCATATGAGGACATTACTGAATCTTATAAGTATCTATGTGTAAATTAGATACAGCTAAGAAGACGAAATGATCTAGAAGTTGTAAGAGGAGGCATCACTCTTCGTTTCCTCCTAACTTTGGAATCTTTCTTTACTCCTTTATGGTTTCTAATATAAGAAAAGGGCAAAAGCAAAACTAAATATTCTCCAATCTCTCTCTTTCCTCGTTTATTCCTTGTGGTGTCCTCTCACATCCCTTAGTTTCATATCGAATATGTTCTTGTATACATAACACAAGTTGCTTTGACATGATCCGAACAAATCCATAACACATTTTGATACTATAACCCGAAGAAAGAAAGCTTTTTTCGCGCAATGGGTTACCGCGCCGAAAGATCTTGACTATGAAGCGTAACGCAACGTAACTAGAATGGATTAAAAAGCATGTAACGTTTAACAAAAAACACACGAAAATAATGTTTCTAAATTAGTTAGCATCTGATTTACTACATAGTTGAAAGTTAGAACAATGTAGGTAGGTCTGAACACATGGGACTTTTTGCTAAAAAAAGTATGGTGAATATATTCTTGAACGCTTCTTTATAAAAGCCCTTCTTCTTCAATTTGACAATCACCGTTCTTTTTTCTCAAAGAGCATATAAGAACATAAGCTCTATACTTATTTTAATTTATTTCATATTTGTCAATAGGTTCTGTTTTGATATAAATCGTATAGGTCTTCTCGTTGTTGTTGTCTCCTCTCATTGTTGCTCTGTTTCTTGAGGCTTTAGTAATGGATGCTGGTACTTTAAACTCGGTGATCAATAGGTTACTTGAAGTTAGAGAGAAACCAGGAAAGACTGTTCAGTTGTCTGAAACAGAGATTAAACAGCTCTGTTTTGTCTCTAGAGATATCTTTATAAGACAGCCAAATCTTTTGGAACTCGAAGCTCCTGTAAAAATCTGCGGTATGCTTCTCTTTGTTTCTCTCTGGCTCTTCTCTGAGATTGATTGTGTTCTTAATCTTATGTAATCTTTTAATTGAATACAAAAAAACAGGGGACATTCATGGACAATATCCGGATCTTTTGAGACTATTCGAACACGGTGGATACCCTCCTCGTTCGAACTACTTGTTTCTTGGAGATTACGTAGATCGCGGCAAGCAAAGCCTCGAAACGATTTGTCTTTTGCTCGCTTACAAGATCAAATTCCCTGAAAACTTCTTCCTTCTTAGAGGAAACCACGAAAGCGCGTCAATCAATCGCATTTACGGCTTTTATGATGAGTGTAAACGCCGATTCAGTGTCAAGATTTGGCGAATCTTCACAGATTGTTTCAATTGTCTTCCTGTGGCTGCACTGATCGATGACAGGATTCTCTGTATGCACGGCGGTCTCTCACCCGAGCTGCTTAGCTTAAGACAGATTAGGGATATTCGTCGTCCAACAGATATTCCTGATCGCGGTTTACTTTGTGATCTATTGTGGTCTGATCCTGACAAAGATGTTAGAGGTTGGGGGCCTAATGATAGAGGAGTCTCTTACACTTTTGGTTCAGATACAGTTTCCGGGTTTCTGAAAAGACTCGACCTTGACCTAATTTGTAGGGCGCATCAGGTTTGTTTAGTGTTCCTTGTGCCCAAAGAAACAGTTTCTCTGTTTTTTTTTTCCTTTTGACTCAAGCAACCATTTTGTGACAGGTTGTTGAAGATGGATTCGAGTTCTTTGCGAATAAGCAGCTCGTGACGATATTCTCTGCGCCTAATTACTGTGGAGAGTTCGACAATGCAGGTGCCATGATGAGTGTGGACGATGACTTGACCTGCTCTTTTCAGATCTTAAAACCTAATGACAAAAGATCAATGTTCAGTTTTGGAAGCAGAGGTGGTGGTGCTAAAACTAGCTTCCCTTATCCTAAAGTCAAGGTATGTTAATGAAAACGCTTTATCCTAAAGATCAAATATTTAACTGTTTGATCGAAACATGTTTATGTGCAGTCGATTCTGAGTTCACAAAGTTCGAAAGGATACAACTGATGAAGGATCTGATTACTCCATAACAGTCCACATAATGACTATTTAGCAAGAGGATTTTGAATTTCGGAATTTTATGAAACTTTTGTACCGTTGTGTGTGTGTTATTTTTTTCTTTCTCAACTGTTTGTAAATTTGGATTGTAATGGTTGGATTATGAAATTTTATAATAAGATAATGTTTTCATTTTTTGGAAGATGTGTATTTCTTAAACAAATTTTAATTAACCAAGAGGTCGATTGGTAACGACTGTTACTTGTGGCTGTAGAGACTTTAACTTTAAAATTTTGGCTACAGAGAATTTGGCGGTAGATGCTTTGGTTGTAGAAATTTTTACTGTTAAAATCTGATTGGCAATGAACAGCTTTTAAAGTTATGTATGTTATTCTTATTATTATTATTTTATATTTTTAATAAATATACATTATATCATAAATGAATTTATAAAATAAAAGTATTATTGAAATGGATCTTAAAAGAACAAGAAAAAAATGAGAGTAATTAATTTATAAAAATAAAATATATAAAATATATTTATAAACTTGTGAAAATGTTTTAAATGTAATGGGGATATGAAAAATAAATCTTTTTAATTGATTAAATTTAAAGTCAGGTTTTTGACGTTTTAAGAAAAATGAGAAAAAAAAGAAAGAAAAAAAAGAAGTGACTTTTAATGCTTTACAAAAAAATAAAAGAAAAAAATTGTTGATCGGCAAATTAATTACTGTTAAGGCTTTAAAATGGTTTTAAAGCCTTAAAAGTCATCACCAATCGCCCTCCAAATCTTTTTTCTTCTTATAGTGTTTACCAAACAGCTTGGAGCCCAACTGATTCATATCATTTTTCAATTTCTTCACTAGTTGTTTACCGACACTTGTCTATTTGAGAAAATCCAATCCAAAACTTATGTTTTCTATCACCCTTCTATCTACATTGTGTGCTACATAGAGTATACTCTCTCTTTTCAATTTTACTCAATGTGTCCAATTCGCTTTTTTTATAGTGACAATCAGATTTCTTGCACCAACTTGAACACTCCCTATGTGGTTTAAAAGCATTTAACACAACACAAATTCAACTTATATTAACTCGAGTTAACTTTAAACTTGCTCATCAAGTTCTCATCTTCACATATATGAACCAAGCTTGTATGCAACCTATTCAAAGAAGTTGAAGAAAGACGGTTCATCAACGGACTTGTTTTCTTGGCACAAAACATTCATCAATTATGTGTTCAGCTAATAAAAAACAAATACCTTTTATCGTATAATACATTACATTAAACTCCACCTGGTGGAAGCTCCCTTGGTCCAGTGATTGACGAAAGGTTGTTTAAAACTTCTACACCCAGATGTATCGGGTTCGACACCCAGGTAATAAGATTTATTAATTTTCAGATTAAGGAAACAAGCTTACATGCATTCTATAACAATGCACAATTAGAGCCGTTCACCATGATTCTACGAATGAAGAAGGAGGCGTCGTCATAAAAATGTGTAATATGTGGTGAATCTAATAGGGTCGGATAGAATTGTTGGTAGTAGAATCGTCATTAATTTTTTCACATGTTATAATAAGAAAGAAGTTGTATTTTTAATAGAATTTGTAATGGTGTTGTATTGTAATTAAATACACTTTTCTATGTTGTGTACTTCTGAATTACTAATAACGAGATGCTTATTTGAGCCATTAAATTTTATACTAATATACAGTCCAATTTTGTTATATTTTTAATCGCAACCAATAATTACACAACCCGAATGAGATAATTTTGTATAAGCTCTATATTTGTTGGTGTTAGCTGTTCCTTCTTTTAGGATAAAATAGTTTTAATATGTTATTATTGTCACATTCCTCTTGCTTGCAGTTTGGGGATTTTAAACTGCTGGAGTTAGCTGTTGGTGGACATAATGTATCCTTAATTAGTAGTATATTATTGTCTTACTTTATACATACCCATAAACTACATCTATTGACAAACTAATATATTAAATAGTACAATATGAACATACATAATTGAAAGTTGTAACAAATTAAATATTGAATATGTATAGTCAACAGCAAAATGGATATATGATATATTTATCAGAGATAAATCATATATCTTAAGTATATATCCTATAATTGAGAAGTACACAAATAAAAATAACCTTATAAATTGTAAGAAATTACATTGAAATACCATTAGAAAAAATTGAAAAATGAAAAAAAAAATACTGAAGGTAATAAAGATAATTAAACAAGATAATCTATAAAATATAAATAAAATCGCAAAATAATTAAATAAATATAATGTTTTTTTGGATATACAAACACATATATGGGATACATAAATATTCAATTAAATAGAAACAAAATAAAATCTTACAAATTTATATCAGATAAAGAGTTCAGCCCACATGAGTTAGTACCTAATCTCAATGTAAGCTACTAATCTCAATTAAAAACTTCAATTTATATTAATAATTTTTTCGATTTTGAAGAAATCTATTAAAATTTCTGCCAAATTGGGTAACGGATAGCTGAAAATGAAACATTTTTGGGTCTTGGAATATACTAAACTTTATTATTTATTTTGACAATTTAACATTTGCAAGTGGCTTGGAGACGATTCGTATCTATTTCGTAATCTATACTATTAATTGGGAAGGACAACTTGAAGCCAAACACCCCCTAATTGAAAAAAAAAAATTTCATGAAATATATTCCAGTTGCCAAACAGAATTATTGACAGCAAAAAAAAAAACAAAAAAACAAAAAAATATATATTTATGGAAATTATAATAATCTTTTACCATAAAAAGTGGATAATTAAATTCAAAATTAAATATATGTAAACATGTCTATTTTGAATATACATAAACATATTTAATATTTTAATATAATTTCGAAATTAATAGTATAGATATAGAATGAAATCTAATAAAACAAAATCATCATATATCTAAAAAACAAAGATAACATTTTTTTGATTAATAAAAAGATTAAAAAAAATATGTTAGCATATGAAATAATCAACTAATCAAATTCTACATAGTATATATACATAACTGATTATATCATCAAATTTTTAAAAATTATATAATTTTTAAATATAAATAAAAATTAAACAAATCAATAATTAAATATTTGTTTGCTAAAATCATGCGAATAAACATTTTAGATCACATAAATTTCTTATTTTCACATAAAAAAATATTCATATTCAAAAAGTAATCTAGCAATTATAGCACAAAAGATATCTACAAAATGTATCATTAATTCAATTAGTTAATGATTTTTTATTTGGTCAAACAGTTAGCTTATGATTATTCTAAACTTCTTTTTTCTTATTAATTTCACACAATCTTTACAAAATAAATCTTCATCCATTGGCAATTTGCATATCATTACTGTTATCAAATATTAAATAATTGTTTTATCAAATCATTATAAACATATAGAATTTCTATTAAAATTAAAACCAAATAACAAGTGGATATATCACATTTAAATGATTTTAACGACTTATTACCAATTTTTAAATAATAAATGGATTATATTTTATGATTTAATCTAATTGAAAACAAATAAAATGTCAAATTGGTATGATATAATAAATAAATATCTACAAACATTATCTCACATATACATACAATTTTAAACTATCCTTGAAAAATATAATATATAGGTTTTGGATAACCGGTTGAAATAAAAAAAATTGGTAGTTATATTTAATTGTCAAAATCTCAAAATATTGTACAAAATTCAACATTGGGACGTATAAATCTCTACTTTTGGACGAGTATATGAAATTTTACATATACTAAAATAATATTTAGTTACATGTAAATGGTGTTATTTATTAAAAAAAAATATAAACTTATAGGAATGGATACAAGACGGGAACTTATAATTCAAAAACAAACATTATCTGAATTATTTCTCATAAAAAAAAACATGATCAGATATAATTGTTATGAGACATGGTTATAAAGTTAAATT